ACACACACACACACACACACACACACACACACACACACACACACACTTACAGAAAGCGCTCTACATCCTCTGTTGGTGCTGGCGACCAGGCATCCCTCTGTGGTCGCCATAGGAACATAGAACTGCTTCTCATCCAGCAGAAGAGGACCGGCGACTCCGACCGGCACCGGCATGAAGCCAATCACGTTCTCACAGCAGGTACCCATCACCTACGGGACCACAACACAAAGGAATGCAGAATAAATCAACACCAAGCAGCTGAGACACTTTATTTAAAGTATGACGGTGAATGTGCTCATAGATTAAACAACATGAGACACGTTTTCATAGAGACGTTCCTGGTTATTGTAGTAGAGCTCGGCAATATATTAATATTATATCGATATCATGATATGAGACAAGTTGTCATCTTAGATTTTGGATATTGTAATTTTTTATTTATCAAAAACATCATTTTATATTATGAAAAAGCAACATGACATGGGACATAGTGAATACCTTAGAATAGTCATAGTCCTTATAAGGAAGAGAAGCCAACGCAGACAGAACCGGCAGTTTTAGTGAAAGCATTTCCCTCCTGATGGCCACGCCCCTCTCTGGAGTCTCCAGGACGGATTCCAGTTTGTAGTTGAGGATGTTACGAGAGGTCACCAGGTTCATCACCTCTTTATCGCTTAGAAAACGGGTCCCCCTCTGGAAAGAAACATTTATTAAACCTTCAAGCAAATACAGAACTACAGACATCTTCTGCAACGATTCCCAGGTCCTACGGCAGCTCACCTGAGGATCTGAGAGGACGGCCATACATTCCTCCAGCGTCCGGGCCTCTGAAGTGCAGCCACTTTGAGGAACACAAGGTGTCTGAGCAAGAGTTTCCTCAAAGCAGGAAACACAGGGGCCGTTCTCCACCGGGGCTCCTGGAGCAGCCTCTGCTGTGGAGGAATCATGTGAGACAAGTGCCACGCTAAGCAACAACGCAAATTACATCAGAGATTGTGTACTTCCATCTGTGAGTACAGACATCACAGAGCTAGCAGTAACAATTATAAGTCTCACCCTTCTGTCTGAAAGCCGCGTCAGTCTCAGGGAGAAGTTTAGAGTCGAAGGCAGCTGGCGAGGCAGCGTCGGTTGCTAAAGGAACGTTGGTGGTTGTCTGGGGTTTCAGGGCCGGGAGGTCCCTCCTGCAGCCGTCTCCTGCCATCCTGGGCTTCTGGGTCGGAGGAGAGCTGATAATGGGACTCATGAGGGACAGGGAGGACTCCGTCTCTGTTTGCTCAAAGAAGACGTACTTCACAGCCAGGAGCAGAGCAAGGCCGAGAGTTATCACCTGTTCCAGGTCCATGCTGGGAGAGACAAAGTCGTGCATCAGTAAAGCTCAGTCTACACTCGCCGTGGTGAAGCCGGCGCGAGGCGCGCTGGGTCGTACACCTCAGAATTTTTGTAACTGTCACAAATGGTTCACTGATAAAAGCACTATTTACACGTCACGGGATTTTACAAAGAAGGCCAATTCATTTCAGATGCTTAAGAAACAGGAGGTCCTAAACATCTACATTTCAGTAAATATTTTGTAGCCAAATCAAATAGTTTACAGGATATTCATGTCCTTTTCTTTCTAACGCATTTAATACTTGACTTGTTTCTCTACAGGACTTTTACAAAGGCAGTAAAGTAGTACATGAATATGAGATATGAGTTTACAGATAATTACAATCCTATATTTATGGGTTACATTCGTTCTTCACAGTTAATTTAGTTTCTACGCTCTCCGGCGTTTCGGAGAATAAAGCAAAGAACAGCGCACTGAGCATGAACGCTTGTGTTCCACGTATAGACAAAGCTGAAGTTACTGCACAGGAGTTAGTAACAGGGAAACGTATTCACGGATTAAGGAATCTTTTACCTGGTGAGCTTCAGAGGCCTCATGGTACCACCAGAGTCCAATCTCGTAGCCAGGGGCCCGTCCACCGAGCGGTTCTGACCCGGATGCTCAGCTGCTAGTCGAGTGTGAGCATGAACCAAAGCCAGGCCCAGAGACTGAGGAGGGTATCAAAGAGACAGATGCTTAACATGCTACATAACTCCACCTTTAGGCTGATATTTTAAACCAGTTATACACAGCGGAGTAATAAACACTTTCTCACCATGATGATTTTGACCCTCTGGGTCACAGGATTGGGCTTGTTGTCCTCTTCTTCAGCCAGCACACGGGCAAAGTGGCTCAGCTGCCAGATCGGACGGCCCTCACGACTTTCCCTGGACAGCTGTTATACACACAAACATGCATCATGAGGACACAGAGATCCACTGTGAGATGCGAAGCATTTCACACCATAATATAGATGCACCGATACCGATATCGGTCAGATTCTGACTCAAATAGCTGGACCGGGTATCAGATACCATCATTTCAATAAGCAACACTTCAGTACATTTATATCCATGTATATATTTGTTACATTAATTTCACAAAGTAATGTTTAAATCAAGCCTGATGTTGTTTAACACATAAGAGAATAATCCCAGTCCCTTCCACACAGTGAGGCACGCAGCTTAGTAATCAAACACTGGTATCGGATCAGTACTCGGTAGCAGTCGATACCTAAAGCCCCGGTATCGATATTGGGATTGATCAAATCAGAGAATCCGTACTATGATTCTCCCTAATGTTTCATATCTTCCTTACCTCCAGCACCAGGGAGACACACGCAGGGAAGAAGGTCATGAAGACAAAGTAATTGGCCAGGACGGACATACAGCCGAAACAACACATGATCTCTAATTGAGGCACACCTGGAAAACAATAGAAAAGAGTGAAGATTTAATTTCACCACCACCGTAGAGTATTCAAAATAAAAACCATAAATATCAGTGTTCCTCACCTGACATGGTGCCAACCCCAATGACCAGACACTCCACCAGAGCGTCCAGGGTGAAGGTGGGGCCCAGGATGGCCATGCCCTGTGAGATGTTCTCCCTCACCTCCTCCTGTACACAGCACACAGAGCCATAGCACTAGTCAGCGACACCTCAACTACATCGTTCGTATGAAACAACACAGATCTTAAACCTCAGGTTTCAGTTCACTGATACACCCAAACGTGGTGTGTGTGTGTGTGTGTGTGTGTGTGTGTGTGTGTGAGAGAGAGAGACATTACCTGAGAGTTTGAGCTGAGGGCAAATTTGGCCAATGTACAGGCTTTGGACAGGTCAATGAGCAGGAGAAAGAACGGCAGAGCTTCACTGCAGGAGAGAGAGACAAATGTCAAATAAAGGAATTTCGTGGTGTCGACATTGTTGAAAAGCCAAAGAGGTCCACAAGTGGCACTGACATTCATACGGGTCATAGTGTCCTCTGTGACAGTGTTAAGATCCTTCCAGTGATCTCTTTCATATCAGAGCTCTGGTTTTGACATACTGTGTTTTATTATGTCTCTTTGACATTCACATTGATGGATGTGTAGTAAGTTTTAACCAATTCTTTATCGCAAGTGTAAACAATGGCCAGAGGACACACTATATATCACATGACCGACCACTGACTTTTGATCTTACCGCCATGCTACTTGTCTTTTGTTCATCTATTAAACTGTGTTAACTGAGGTAAGGCGACTTCAACATCTGTTATAAACCAGTGAGCTATTTGTATGAATCTGTCTGCTGAACAATAAATATGTCACTGTATTTGAATCACTTACTTAAGACCTGTCAGCTCTTTCCCAAAGAAGTGGATGACCACTGTGCTGAAAACAAAGCTGGAAAACACGGTGAACAACCCCGCAATACCTGTAGGAAGAGAAGATGACATAACAGTAAGAACCAACACAAAAACATACATAACTAGCTTCATAGCTTAAATAGACGAGTTATAAGTGCAGAGATATATATATATATGCGGTGGGCATTACATTTCCATGCTGAACACGCTACAACTTTCATACTGACCCAGTATATATTTGGAGCCCAGTTGTCTCAGATTCTTGAACTGGAAATAGATGTAAACGATGGCCATGCATCGTGTGACTGTTAGGATGATTACGTCGCTGCTGTGGATCTTCTGTAAGAAAATAAGCACAGACATATCTTTCCGTTAACACCACTACATTAATTCCTCCTTGTTTGCATTTGAGATTAGATGCCAGACCCACGTCAGCCCTCCTCCTCCGAGACTCACCTCCTCGACTTTGGGGCACTCATTCCAGCTGCACATCTGGCTGCTGGCTGCCAGGTTGTTGTTCATAGACACCAGGCAGACGGTGAGAACCAGGGTGCCCACTATTACCTCCCACGGGTGGGAGGCTACCAGCAGACCGTGGAGCCTGAACAGGCGTGCCAACATGGTCACAGCTCGGGTCACAGACGCACCTGACAACATGACACAATAATTAACAATCAGTTATCCCGTTGCAAAACCTACCATAGACCATAATATAGCTTCATCTTTAAGGCTATAGCTACCGTGAAAGATAAACATTTAGTTCACAAGGTACAGACTCGCTCAACTGTACTCTTTAAACATTTATAAAGACAAAAAATATCAGTGTTTAGGGTGACAGTTAACGTTTTCTTTGGTTAGCTAACTACATTTAGCAGCTAACTCACAAGGGCCAGCGTTAGCGTTGGTTAGCATTAGCTACATTTCTAGCAGCTAACTCACAGAGGCTAGTGTTTGCATTGGTTAGCATTAGCTATACTTCTAGCAGTTAGCTCACAGAGGCTAGCGTTAGCATTGCTTAGCATTAGCTACATTCGCTGTCTAACAAGGTCACTCCGTCCCTCCACTCTTTACGAACACTTTGACAGTTACTAACTGAATAAAACGTGCTGAATTCGCGTACGTTTAAATGTTAGCTTCTCCGTGGTCAGAGAGTCCTTTCCATGGTGACATCGGTGCCCCTTATCCAGAAGTCGCTCAGCTAGCTTACTTCATCTTCACGTAACGACACAAACATGGCGGTGCGGAAATCCCAACGTCACGGTAAACGTCACTTAATGTTACGTCAAGGGGCGTGGTGAAAGGTGACGCAGAGGTGTGGAAACCGGTGACAGTTTCACTCAGCAGCCAGTTTCATTGGAAAAGTTATTCAGTCAGATTCAGACAGGTCTCGATTATCATTGAGCCTTGAGGCAAATACAAATTTTAATTTTCTGACGTGTGTCACTCAAAGAGCCGCTCTGTGCTCTTCATGGTGTGTTTACATTTGATATCAGTTCAATCAAATCAAGCATGTCCTGTTAACGTTGCCTGTGAGCTGGCTCCACAGTTCAGTCTCTTACAGCATCACATTGATTTGCATATAATACAATTACACCTCCTGTTTTATTTTATTTTGTTTATTTCTTTCCTGATACCTGTTGAGTTTGTGCTCCTGGTCTGAAATGACTTTGCAGAGACAACAAACTTCAGATGCACTTTAAAATATTTAATTTATTTCAACATTGGCTTAAACATGTTTTATTTGCTTTTTAATGTATCAGCTACAGGAAGACAATTCATAAACTTGCTATAAAAAACAAACAGAGATAACTTTGAAGATAAGTTCTTATCCAAATGTTTTGTTCAGTCATTGAAGAAATAAAGTCAAGTAACGTTATTCTTCGTCTGACTTATAAATGACTGCCTCTACTAAAACGTTACTTGTTAAATTGCATTTCAGAGATCATTTTAGGCATTCATTTGTATTATTTAGTGTTTATTTGCTTGATACGTAAATCCCAATATCTTTTCTATGCAAAAGTCAGAATGGGATTTTGCCAAATGAGGACCCTCAGATGTTTGTCCATATGTGCCCGAGGAAAACTGCTTTTATATTCTCATAATTGGAGGATAAGCTTTTGTTTATGACTCAGTGGTACCGTTGACCCCATTGGATCCAGCAGAACCAGACGCAGTGTGCGCGTTCTCCTGCTTGTGTACTTTTACCTCTTGTACCCTCCCCTTGGAGTTTAAATTACCTCACATGCGAGACCAGCAGAACCTTATTACCTTTTTAACGTCGTTATGAGCTGCAGCTCGTGAGTCAGCCCTCGTGCCTTCAGTGTGATTCGTGTAAATTTCAACTAAAGTAAAATGTGTTAATAGATTTATTTTAAATATTTGTGACATAGATGATTGAAAGTTTTCAGGTGACTCCACCACTTATTGGGATTCATTTAAGCACAAACGGTGAAGGGGTTAAATGACTCTGGACATTTCTTGTTGATCAGATTAACAGAGGATCTGAAACTGTAAACAGGTTTTGCTTACTTCTTTCCTCCAAAGCCCTCTTCATCCTTAGAGGCCCGAGTATCACCTTAAGACAGAAGACAGAAGAGTGTGTTTGAGTTTAAGTGCCATAGTTTTTCTTGATCTTTTGCAGTTCTGCCTCTTCTTTAAGATGACACAAACCACTGTGTTTTCATTCATCTTCTTTAATCAGCTGCATGAACGGTTTGTTTATGGATAGCAGCCATTTACGCACGGGGAGTCCGTAAGACGGCCCGTTTTAATTAAATTAAGGTTGTAGCTTGTTGTCTACCTCACTACGGTTACAGGGAGGTATCGTTTGTATTTTAGCAACGTTTCGTTAACGATTTATTGAACCGGGAAGTCCGAATCTGTCAATATCGTTCTAACTTTACCTAACCTTACGCACAGCTCCATTCGCGCTCTTTAATTCATTTTTTACCATGTGCTACCTGTAACAAAAGCCTAGTCTTTGTTTATCATCACTGGTGACATATGAAACGCCAAACAACACTCTTTTGTGGCAGCTCCTGTCTGTAATTTGTGCAGTTAACGCTTTCTCTGAGCCCCTCCCTCTTTCTCTCCGGGTTATTCGTGAGAGCGCAGCGCAGTCCTCTCCTCATCTTCACGAGATTTAACGCAGGCTGACGTTCAGAGCGCGTTGTACCTCTTGACCCTCATTATGTTTTGGATTATATTGTGGCAAATTCAATCTCGGTCTGCTGGCTAACGGAGAGCTGTTTCAAGTTGATATTGCCAACACATGTCGCACCAGTTGTGCGTAAAAAGAGGAAACTGCACTAAAGATAAATGTCCACTCTTCCTATTTCTCCTGCAATCGGTAAGTTTCTTTGCTCTAGGATATGATTTATTATTAAATATCTTTATTACACAGAAACCGATGCATGGACACTAAAATCATCCACGTTTTGACAACATTTAGGGTGTGACTGAAAACCGGGCGTTCTGCAGACCGGTACCCACGGAGCAAGGTGAGCGTGTATTCAATCATTGTTTCAGTCAAACCCAAACATCTGGTTTTCATGCTTCATGTGAGTTTCTCACTTTAAATGTTATGTTAATGAAAAATAATAAAAACGTTAGTTTTGGTTTCCTCTCTTCACAGAATGAAAACAAGATGTGCCCTGTATTCCTTCCTCCTCCTGACACTGTGGACTCTATGTGTCCTGCTATTGGTCAGAGTGAAGCACAGCGACTTCACAGAGTACTTGCTTCACCGAGCATCTTCAGAAAACATTCAAATATTTCACAAGTACAATATTAACTGCTTGGCTATATACGACTTGGACCCAGTGGAGGTGGGAAAGTCACTGGTCATCAGGCGGAAACAAGTTGTGGAGGACAAGGAGGAAAATCTGGTTAAGCTCATGTCAGACTGCTCATTATTTATCAAGTCCAGGGGTTATGATGATGTGTGCGTCTCAGAGGAGGAGAAAGACTTTCCTCTTGCTTACTCACTGGTTGTGCATAAATCTGCCCTGATGGTAGAGAGACTCATCAAAGCACTGTACTCCCCCAGAAACATCTACTGCATCCACTATGATCAAAAGTCTCCGGCTCTGTTCATCTCAGCCATGGAGGGTTTGGCCCGCTGTCTGCCCAACGTCTTCATCGCCTCCAAGCGAGAGTTCGTCTTTTACGGAAGCGTCAGTCGACTGAAAGCTGATCTCAACTGTCTGTCCGACCTTTTGGTGTCAGGTGTCAAGTGGAAGTATGTCATCAATCTCTGCGGCCAAGATTTCCCCCTCAGGTCCAACATCGAGCTGGTGTCGGAGCTGAGGAAGCTGAATGGAACCAATATGCTGGAGACATGTCGACCCAGCAAGTTTAAGAAGCAGCGGTTCACCTTTCACCACGAGCTGAGTAACGCCAACATTGAATACGAAAAAGTGCCCATGAAGACGGAGCAGATGAAGACCCCACCACCGCACGGCATCGAGGTGTTCTCCGGCAATGCCTACTTCGTCTTGACCCGGGACTTTGTTGTGCACATGGACACGGTCGTGGTGAAAGATTTTTTGGCCTGGTCAGAGGACACCTTCAGCCCAGACGAACATTTCTGGGCCACACTTGTGCGACTGCCGGGCGTCCCCGGAGAGGTGCCCAGATCGCAGCCCGACATCACCGACCTGATGAGCAAGACCAGGCTGGTGAAGTGGCAGTACCTGGAGGAGAGCCTGTACCCACCCTGCTCAGGGAAACACGTCCGCAGCGTTTGTATTTATGGCGCAGCGGAAATGCGTTGGTTGCTCAACTATGGTCACTGGTTCGCCAATAAGTTTGACCTCATGGTGGACCCCATTGTCATTCAGTGCCTTGAGGAGAAGCTGGAGGAAAAACAAAAGTTATTCCAGTCAATGGCATCTCATACCTGCCATGAGGATTAAAGCAAAAGCTACAGTATACTGAAGAGATTAGTCGATTTATCAGTTAGTGGATCAAGAGAAGATTAATCAGCAACAATTCTGATGATCGAGTAATCGTTTGAGTAATTTCTTGACACATTTAATGGTTCCAGCTTCTGAAATGTAAGAATTAGCTGCTTTTTAGCTTAAATTGTCCTTTCCCTTTGGATTTTGAACCGTTGGAGACATTTGATGTCATCTAGGAGTTTTAAAGCAGGTTTAAAAAATGATCCAACCTTAAAACAGAGCAAAGTGTTGGCAATTATGGTCCATTTACCAAATATGGTCACTTCAGTTCAGTGTGCAAAAAACAAGATGGAAGTTTGTTTTTTCATTTTGCTCAACAAAAATGTCAAAAATGTTTCCGAAGAAGATTACCAACCTGCTATTAAGCAATAGCGTCGGGCTCATTTTCCACAGTTTTCTGTTTTATAGACATAAAGCAATAATAATAATAATCAATCATAGTTACAACCCCACCAGGTATCAAGGTTTCTTTCTCTCTGACGTTCAGTCTTCAGCCAGTTTCAGAGGCTATATTCACTTTTGAGCATTTTTAAAGGCCAACAGGAATGTAGCGCCAGCCTCTTGTATCATAACCACCCGTCTCTTGAAAGGGTCGGATTACACAACCTGCCTCACATATCTCTAGTGGTCCATGCATATGTTGTTGGTTTAGATGAGATGTTTTTCTCCGTCTCCTGCACAGATACAGATGTAAATGAGCTTATCTGGTCAAATGAATAAATAAATAAAAAATGTCTCCACACCAAAATTCAATGGAGGTGAATGGAGTTGTATTCATGGCGCTCATAGCATATTACAAACATCTTTGACATCGGGCATTTCTTTGTGCAACCCCGGCTGTAGAACAAGTTAATAAACCTTGAAACAACGTCGCTGTGAACACTGGCTTTCTGCAGAAATAAAGAGTTGATCTTTGTACAAGAGAATAACTTGTTTTACTTTGGTATGAAGAGAGAAAGAAAAGCTGACGAGCCTGTCACAGCTCTGCCCCTTCTCTCCTATCACTCCACACCCTCCTCACTCTATGCATCAGCCTCACTCCCTTCACCTGCCTCTGATCACTAATCAAGCTCTCCCCCTGTAATGTAAAAGTGTCGAGTGTATTTAAATATGAAACACAGAAGGGATGTGCAGGGGAGTGACCGGTGACGACGTCAGTGGGATTTGTTTATGAACTGCAGATGGGAGAGACATCTTTGTTGCCTCAGCGTTTACACTCTCAGTTAGTTTAACGGCTGATTCAAAAGACTGGAAAGCTAAGAGTTTTACATTCTGCACATTGAAGGGAATGTTTCCTGTTTTTGTGTCAACTTAAAGCTACAGGGAACTTTCATTGTGTGTCGATTGTTTTTTTTTACTTTTTCTTTTCTTTCAATAAGAACAATTAGTGATCAAGTTGCAAAATGAACTCAACAGCTGATATTTCTGATACTCTAAGAAAGAAAATAATATGTTCAGATTCATCTTCGGGCAGTTGGGTGCAGCTCAAGATAAGAGCTGTTTCACAACGTTTATGACTTTTGGCAGATATCCGGATATAGTAAGAGACGATAACGGATAAGTACGAGTGTGAGGGAGGGCCAACGTCAATGTCCACAGAGAAAACAGAAATCTTACTGGAGAAGATAAAAACTCTCTTGTTCCTTTTAAAATGCGTTCTTATTGTGGGTGGTTGCACATCAGTCATCAGCCTTCCTTTACTATGAACATTTCACGCACCACCTCCAACAACGGAAGGATGTGGTATTATTGGAAGCTGCTTTACAACACAGATACGACCTCAATGCAACAGTGTGCATGAACACAGGTGGCGAAAACACTCATCTGTGAAATACACACTATCAACCACACAGTGAGAAGTTACAGGGTTTTTAGTGCGAGCTGGTGGACTCACCAAATAATAAGTAATAATAGTAATGTTAGCTTGAAATTAGTTTCAATAAATACTTCAAATTCAACCACACTACAGACCTTCTATTGCAAACCAAGTCTACCTACAGGTACAAATAAAAGGAACCTGAACCTGACCCTGAACCTTCAACATGACTGACAGAGCCTCAGGCAGCTCGAATTCTGTGTCCTTTCATGGTGGACCGAGGACGGACCAGACAACACAGAGACTCACTCCGGCCTCTCAAAGTACTCGTGGTATTACAACACAGGTCTCTGGTCTTCGTGTTTGTTTTAGGTCAGACTGGTGTAGGGATGTGGTTATTTTAAGTCTGTACTTCCTCATCACTCTCTCTTGCTCTTCATTCTAACATGAGCTGTTGGGATGGGAGGGTTGGAGGGTTGGAGGGTTGGGAGGGTTGGGAGGGTTGGAGGGTTGGAGGGTTGGGAGGGTTGGAGGGTTGGAGGGTTGGAGGGCATCTGGTGGACGGATGGAGAACGACACTGCAGGGTCGCTGAGGAGGTGAGAACATGCGTTTCTTCATGAAATTCAGATTTCACTGAACGAGGTTGATGAAGAGGTTAATGTTAGTGTTTATTCAAAGTAGCAATCTGTCACTAGCTTATCATGTTTATACTCTACGGACACTATCTGTGATGAGCAGGCAGCGGAGGAATGTAACTAAGAACATTTACTCAAGTACTGCACTGAAGTTCAATGTTGAGGGACTTGTACTTTACTTGAGTATTTGCATTGCACACTTGAAGCCATTCAGTGTGCAGGAACACGTCGTAGATCTACAGCAGCGTTTCTCTACGAGGATGACGAGGCTGCAGAGGGAGAAGAGGAAGTTCAGGGTTAAACCTTAAAAAAGGTGACTGACATAAAACACTCCTCATCACTCACTCTAATCTAAATCTCAATAAAGTAATATAAAAATAAATAAAGAAGAGGAAGTTCAGGATTAAAACAGAAGGTGACAGACATAAAACACTCCTCACCTCATCACTTCACTCTAACCTAAATAAAGTGTCTCGTGTTCTGTTTCTTCACATTTCTACCCTCGTTAGAATATTTTGGTCCTTAACTCGTCCCAGATTTAAAGTATTTATGCCAAGTTTAAAGAAGAGACAAGATCAGTCTGAATGAAGTGTCCATCTGCTGTGTATGAATATATATGTTCAGTCATTTTATCAATGTGTTAACAGAGTTATTTTATTTCATCATGTTGAGTTATTTTACTGTGATATTTAAATCAATAATCCAACTAACCTTCTGAGAAGATGACTGTACCGGAGAGTGTTGTTGCAGATGATCTTTTTTATTTATTTACTTTATTTTGTATTTAATTTATTTAAAACAAATATAATTACAAGTTAGGTTTATTATCAGCATTGTGTTATATATGTTACTATCACTATTTAGCTTGATTATATTGTCGCACAGAGAGGATGACGTGCAGCCCAGTACACAGTCTACTTCAGACTGACTCCACGTTTATGTATCGAACAAATCACACCCGCGTGGTGAATTAAGCATCATTGTTTTATTGTTCAAAAAACAAATCTTCACAAAAAGAATCCCATTATGAAACATCCTCCAGTATCTGCAGACAATGCTGACGTTGAGTTTGTGTGACATTCAATAAGAGTTCAAATCTCTTCCACAGAATTCAGTCAAGTTCTATCTTTTACGTTTTCCTTTTTTGCTTCAAGGCTAAAAAGTTAGATATTGAAAAGACAAAATCCTGCATGTACAAATACAACAACAAAGAAACTTCTTTTATTTGAGATGCTCTGTCAAACGAGCCATTCAGAATGTTTTGGTGCCATTGTTCTCTTGAAAAAGCTTGTTTTTATTTGATTTCTTCCTCTCATGGCCTTGACACAAAAATATAGTTCTTTGTCAAATATTTACCCTGGATTAAAAAGAAATACTTCAAATACACTTGAATTTGAGCTCGGATGTGTTCACTGGAGCTGTGTTCTTGTTGCCGTCCTGCTCAGACTGAGTGAGGTCATCCCGGTGTCGGAGTCTGCGCAGTGACGCTCTGAATCCACTTGGTGGCGCTGTGGCTGCGCGTCAGCGGGAGGATTCACGCGCGTCAGCGGGAGGACTCACGCACGTTCCTCTGAATCACTGCTTCCTCTTTTGTCTTATTTCAGACAAAACAAAATGTCACATTTGCTGGTTTCACTTTCTCAAGCTCGAGTCTGAAAATGAAGGAAAGTGATGAAAGATGAGAAGAAAGTCATGTGATCGAACATATTATATATATATATATATATATATATATATATATATATATATATACACACACACATGTTGCTATAATATGGTTTTATTGTGTATACTGGATATATTTAATCTATTCTACCAGTTTGAGCTTTTTGATATTAACTTTAGATTATTAATTGAAGATAAAGCCGAGTGAAGCGGTGGTTATCCTGCATTTACTGAAATATACAAACATATTTAGTCTATTATCTGCATTTCCTTTGAAGCCGATGAAGTAAAATTATTTAAAGAAGAGTTCATAAAATAAAAAATATGATGTAAAAATAATGTATAAAAAAAGACATTCGTTTGAAATCCCATCACAATCTGAGTCACAATCATAATTTTTATTCTGATGATGTTTTATTGCAACGTACAGCGTGTGAATCACGTGTGTGTGTACATGTGCACATGTGAACTCATCTGTGCATGTGTATTAATATGCTCCGCTACTTTATTTTATTTGTTTATTGGTCTGCTTATTTTGCAGCTCTTTTATCAATTGTTTTGTAACATAAAGACAGAAAACGATGACCGATTCAAATCTGCACATGCAGTAAATGATGCGACTCATCATTAAAAGCCCTGAACATTTGTGTCCTCCTCACTGAGGTGGAGCCGGGTTGTTTCCATTTTTTGCTCGGACAGCCGTGACTTAATGTGTCCTTAAGGTGCCCACCTGGGTGCGTATAAACACTCGCCCTGACAGCCCCGGCTATGCATGGCTTACTCCTCCTGTTCATTTTATAGCATGCATGTATCACTTTATGGCACCCATCTATCTAGTAAACCTTGAAAAGGCTGTCGAGGCTCCGGATAAATCTGAGGGTGACACTCTGACAGTCCCTGATCTGCCTGTCCATGTCGCCTGAAATCTCTCTCCACGATCGTAACTTTGCTGCTGACATATTCCTCGCTGAGCCAGAGCTCTGTTTGTTAGTGTGCGTGTGTGTGTGTGCGTGTGTGTGTGTATATACATATATATATTTATATGTGTGTCTGTGTGCTATCAGATAAACCAGCTCAGCTCTAATGTCACCTGTCGAGGTGCAGCTGACAGAGAAATGTTGCAGCATGATGCAGCTCGAAATGAGTTTTGTGTGAGAACGAGTAGCTGTGAGTGAGTGTGTGTTGCAAATTGAGGCTAGCTGGCATATAGATATGTTTGTGTGTGTGTGTGTGTGTGTGTGTGTAAAAGAGTATGTGAGTGTAATTAATGATGTGTTCCTCCTCTTCATAGGGTAATAGGATTTCCCCACCCCAGGCGGTAAAGAGAGTGGGAGGGGGGAGAAAACGTCTCTGCACGTATGTATATGTGTGTGTGAGAGAGTGTGTGTTTGCAGAGTTAGTGAATGGGAGCCCCATGTAGTGATGCCAATAGAGGGTCTATGTGTGTGTGTGTGTGTGAGCGTGAGGGGGGGAGGGGGAACAAGAGAGTGATTTATAACAGCTACTCCAGGTCTCTCCTCTCTCCCACAGCAGCACCGCAAACACATCCATTACAAAAGTACTGATGTTAATGGGGTTGTTGTGTGTGTCTGTGTGTGTGTGTGTGTGTGTGTGTGTGTGTGTGTGTGTGTGTGTGCATGCTCATGTGTTCGTGCATGATACAGAGGCTGCAAAAGTGTGAGTGTGCACCTTTGTGTGTGTGTGTGTGTGTGTGTGTGTGTGTGTGTGTGTGTGTGTGTGTGTGTGTGATAACCAGATGCTTGCTGGGTTAAAGGAAGGTGAAGGTTACTGAAGGTGTTTTCGTGGAGGCATGGTGCTCAAGTCCCAGCACAAGTTTTGGTGTGCGTGTGTGTGTGTATGTGTGTGTGTGTGTGTGTGTGTGTGTATGTGTGTGTGTGTGTGTGTGTGTGTGTGTGTGTGTGTGTGTGTGTGTGTGTGTGTGTGTGTGTGTGTGTCTGTGTCTCGCTTTGCTGGAGAAACACAGCTGAGGAAGATGGAGAAATAAAAACCTGGAATTGAGGAAAATACTCCAGAGGATAAACAGAAGGAGTGAAGAAGAAATAAATAAAGAGGATGTAGAGCTTCTTGGTAATGGACTGGTAGATGCTGAGGACCACAACCGCCTCACACACACACACACACACACACACACACACACTGTCTACCGGTCTCCTCTCACATTACCCTTTACATTAAAACCAGTCAGGGAGAAAATTACTGCAGACCTGGGCCACCGTCGGCCCACCTTGCCCCACAGCGAGAGGAGGGGATGTGGAGCCAGAGGAGGGGATAAAGAGGAGGATAAGGGGATGAGGAGGTGGGAGGGGGGGCAGTGAGGGAGAGGGCTGCCCAAAGGCGCTGGTCTGAAGTCAGTTTCATGCAAGGAGAGGGACTTTCTGGTCTAAGGTCTCTGCCTGTGGGCCTCAGAAACAGCCCTGATTCCACTTCTGTTAGCAGCGTTAAAGGTGGAGAAAATTGTGTTTTATTTTGCTGATGCTAGATGAAAACAATAACTTAAAGCTGCTGTATTCACATTTTTTTATATTAACAATGAATGAAATGACTGTGTGTAAGGTGTAAGAGGTGACTCCTAGTGACAAACACACAGAGAATTATCATTCCCTCGTCTCTACAGAGTCTTTCCATGTTTCCACCCAGCAGTCCGGTTCACTTCGTTACACATTAGAACCACGGATGGATCACTGGTACAGGCCCCGGGGCCCAAAGGGTCAGGGGCCTTCACCTGCAAGATGTCAGTCAAAGAGAAACGTACCAACCATGAGAGACACAAAATGACCACAAAGACACACAAAGGGACAAAGAGACCAAAACAACTAGAGAGATGCAAAGCGGCTGCAAAAAGCCAGAAAAGACGCAAAATGAGTTTTAAAAAAGGTGCAAACAAACACAAAGAGACACAAAATGACCACAAAGAGACACCAAGCAACCCCAAACACACAGTGGAGACACAGCATAGAGAAAAAGGAGCTGGTACCAAAAGTGAGAGCAGAGCCGCAACCATTCAGTGGAAACACGGCACTAACTCATTAACTCGTATTACTCTCAGACAACATGAGCGGCTAGTTGGTGAATATAGTGCAGAATGTAGCATCTAAAGAGCCAGATATTTACCTCAGGGTTGGTGTGGAACAAACAGGAGCTAAAATATGCTAATGTTGCGCTGTCTGCTGGTTTGCTAACATGTTCACAATACCAACTTTAGAAACCAATTATATGTTGATGTTGTGTTTTCAGACTGTGATGCTGCCCCCAAGTGGCCACAAAAAGAAATGAATGCAGATTTAAAGTATTATCTATAAAATAAGATATTACTGTATGTGGAATGGATTCTTACAAAAGGAGGATGTGCTGACAACAGAAGAGTAGATATAAAATATGAATAAAGGGTCTATGATTATTATATAAAGCCATAATAAGTGAAGAAATATTAATGAAGCCGTGACTGTAGTTACAACTTATCAACAAATATTCTTAATGAGAGAATGGAGACAAAGATTCTAATGATGCTATCGGTCAAATTCATCCTTAAATGTGCGCTTTGTCTCTTTTTTGGCAAATTAATTACACTCAAAAAAACAAGTGTACATAACTGATCAAAAATGTTTAAAAAGAACAATTACACCAAAGTGAAACCAGATGAGCTGACGAGAGAGAGAGAAAGAAACGGAAATCATTTAGAGGCTCTTATTGACACAATATTAAATGTGTATTATTAATATCAATATTATCATCAATACCCGGATATCATGACACCCATAGTCCCAGCATGTTGAGATGACGCTCGTTAAGATTACTTAACTATTTTATGAGCTCATTATATGTTTTGCTTTTAAAACCCTAATCTGAAAAACAAGCTTGATAGTGTATAGCTGTAAAATAAATGTAGAGGTGTGGGAAGTGCAATATTTTCCTCTCCCCTAGTAAAGTTATAAAGTAACTTGTATTAAATGTACTTCCCTCCACAGACTAAAGGAAAGAGAAGAAAGACTGTGTGACCATGCTCAAGGAGAAAGCCAGTTCTTCAAGTTGTAAGAGAAGGTTTTATTACCAGTGCTATTTACATAGAAATAATACAGCCTTATCCCTTTCCCCCCTTTAAATGCGCACACACACACACACACACACACACACACACACACACACACACACACACACACTCGCTCACTTTTGTATCCAAGAATATCTCAATACATCAGAAATAAGACACACACTCAATGTCCAAAGGAAACGCAAAATGATCTCAAAAACAATATTTCAAGTAACTCATTGTGTCGGCTGTGTTTTGTTTCAAACAATGTTCGTGTGCGATGAAACGAAAGCCGAGAGACTCAACGGGTTTTAAAAAACGATGACTTAACGGGAGGTTCTTGTCTTGAATAATATCAGATAATTTGGTTTGTTTGTCTCCTCTCAGAAGCAGAATCATAAGGTAGACGTGGATGTTTTCTTCTTTTTAATGTAGTTTTGAAGTATTTTTCAAATTTGGAGCCCTGATAACATTTGGCCCTGAGAATGAAGAATTAATTATTGTCGTTATTTAGAGAAAAACAACAAGAGTTTGTCCTCTGCAGCACAAAGATGTTCACATCACACACACACGCACACACACACACCCACACCCACACACAGCCGGACGCTGCTTTGAGCTGATCTTCTTTTTGTTATTTATGTTGTATTCAGTGTGTCTTAAGGCCACTAGATGGCAATGAGTGCTTCAGAGCAGACAGAGGTAATGCCACAGATGTTGTCTGCCCCCTCTTTTGTTTTCTCTCTTTAGAGGAAGGAGACCTCAGCTGTTGAAGTAGATTCTCCATTATGGGCTCAATGTTCTTTTGAAAATCATTTCCATTAAAACATGTTTTTTTAAAAGAGACAGTAACAAAAGGAAGGTCAGGTGAAGCAGTCTGCAGAGCAGAACTATATCAGGGCCGGCTGGAGGGGTGTAAGATTTGTGTGCGTGTGCGCGCGCGCGCGTGTGTGTGTGTGTGTGCACGCGCTTGAGTGAGTACAAGTGTCTGTATAATTGTGTCCGTGTTTTGAATAATGGTATAGACATCCTTCTTTTGAGCTACGATCAAGAACGCTTTTTGTGCATTAAGGGACTTAAAGCTGAGATGTGTGCAAGATAAAGTCAATGCCAGAGATGTGTGTGTGTGTGTGCATGTGTGTGTGTGCATGTGTGTGTGTGCATGTGTGTACACTTTCTATCAAGAAGCAGCCTTTGATTTGACACATTGTCTTACAGAGGAGAATGTTTAAAGCGGCGTATCGTGTCTCGATCGACCACGTACGTGTTTGTATATGAACATTAAAGCGTGTGTTTAAACCTGGTCCTTTGTCTTAATATTCATATTGAGGGTAGAGTGGCAACTTAGCAATGAACAGAAAAAAAAACAAAAACAATATTGCTTTGAAGCAACGTTTAAAAAAACAAACAGTGGTGAGAAATGAAGAGACCTAACGATGTCCCCTTTGGCATTTTCCTCTCTAACATCAGAAGATACCTTCGTTTACATCGAGGGGAAGGCGAGGAGCGTTTTCTGCTGGGTGCAAATTATGTTTGTTTAAATAATTCAAGTCCAGTAATCCAGGAAGGGATTTGCTTTGGAGGGTCTACCGGGCAGCAAATATCGCTTTCCCCCAGCAGGCTGTCCCGTTCTCCATTCCGTCAGTCCGGCAATTGTGAAAATCAGTCCTCGATTCTTTTTTAAAAAGTCCTCCATAAAAATTTCATCTGGATTTTTTCACTCCACAATGTGTGTGTGTTGTTGTTGTTGTTGTTGTTGTTTTTTACTCATCTCCTGAATTAACTAGGCTGACGTTCAGCCCAGGATTGGTCCCTGTGGTTCGGTCCTTCACCAGGCTGCGGTCTCTCCCATCTCCGGGCCCTGGTGGGACATGGGAGCGCTGTAGCTGGAGTTACTCGCCAAGGAAAACGGAGGACTGGGTCCGCCCCCGTACGCCTCCCCGGGCACCGGCTGCAGGGAGCCCGGTAAGCCCGGCTCCGGACTCGGGGTTTCCGCGTGGGAGATCATGTCCGTGAACCTTTGGTCGTCTGACGGGTGGTGGCCCGATCCCTCCATGGCTCCGGGTCCGGAGCCCAGGATGTACGGGGACTCGGCTGGAGACTGAGCCTGTGAGGATGGAGGGCCGTGGGGGAAGAAGTCGTAGTTACTCCCCGGTCCGTAATAGTCACCTTGGTATTCTGCGGAAAGAAAACACAGGGTTAGACTTTTAAATATGTATACAAATCACCTTTCCTCCACCCCCCCACCCTAAGTGGTGAAATTGATCATGTCCCATTTCCAACCAACCGTTCTCCAAGCAGCCTCATTTGAGTGTATAAACAACTCCACACTTCTCCACCTCAGTTCTCCTGCCTTTCTACACACTGCATTCATCTCCCTCACTCGCTCCTCCACGGATCCCCCTGCTGAAACCTCCGGATCCGGATGAGGAACTCCAGAATGAGATTTTCTCATCTCTCTGTCTCCGTCATGTCTGATGCGGCTTCCAGCAACATCTCCCTCTCCTCCACCTCACCGGGCCGTGGGACTATCTCCATCATTAACTAACTGATTGTGTTCATCAACGGTTAATCCAACAGTTCCAACAGGTCTATAAATCGTCATAAAATAGTGCAAGGTGCCCATCACAGTTTTGCTCAGTGTGACGTCTTTGTTCAACCGACAGTCCAGAAACCCAAAGATGTTGAATTTACAGTGATATAAACTACAAAAACAAAGGTGCAAAATCCTCACATTTGAGAAGCTGGAACCAGACGATGCATATCGCAGCATTTTTGCTTGAAAAATAACTTAAAGCATGAGTCAACTATTAAAAAATATTCCCGATTAATTGCCAGCCGAAGAAGTAATCAAGTAATTTATCAATCCCTTCAGCTCTGAATACAGAATTATTGCTCCTCTGGACAGCTGTTTTGTATTTCCACACCTTGCTGCTGTGTTTTTATCCGCAGTCACGGTGTTGGATCATCAATAGCTTCCCACATAAGTGGAGTCAGTGGTGACAGGTTTACCCCGCTCTGTTTCCATCTTTACTGCATCACACGCCTGTTCATATGGCAGCAAATCAGTGAGAACATCTCTGCTCAGGCAAATATCCACGTGCACGTATGCAGCAAGCAGGAGCAAAACTCTTGAAGGATTGATCCTCTGGGGACCATGAATGTCTGCACAGAATGCAATTAATCTAATCGCCAACGTTTGAGCAAAGCTTGAATCACGACTGACGTTTTCTCTCGTCTTAAATAATTCAACTTTCTCACGCAGCAACAAACTGGCATATTAATGACAGAAAACAGCGCAAATTCCACGCTTTCAAAGAAAATCTCTTGCACACACTCGGATTTAACAAATATTCTCGACATCACCTCTAACACTGACTGACATGTTTACGCCTCTGAGAGGTTTCTGCATAACCCGACTAATGTTTGATGTCTCCAGGTGTATTCCTATTTATTCATCATTGTCATCGGTTATTTATGAGTTTACTCAGAATGTATCCTGAATACTGTCCATCAACAAAGGGTTAAAGGTTAAAGGTTAGTGTTAATGTTCCCTGGTTCTAAGATTTGTCTATGACTTCTGCCTCCACCTCAGTACAACAGAAGTCAATGGCATTTTGTTTCTGGTGCTCACAACATTGGAAAATTAGATTTAAAAAATAAATTCTTTGGATAATCAATAAACCTCACTGTGAGCAGTTTTCATCGGGACTATTTCTTCAGTAGTTCCAGAGAACTTTCCACAGCAAAAATATGTTTCCAAATATCATTTATCTATAAACGTGGACAAATAAAACCAGTCAAATAGTAAATATCTTCTCTGAACTGCTTTTCCTCGACCTCGTTGGGAAACGTCACGAGGTCAAGGAAAGATGTGAGGGAGAATTCAAAGAATACTGTGCTCAGAGAATCCGAACATTATTCATAACATAGAAAACAAACTTAGTAGTGTACAAGTCAAGTAACAATCCAGTCCAAAACAGAATCACACCACCTAAAAGACCTTCTACAGCAGTGGCCTGAAGAATAAACACGAAAATACAAAACGCTCGCCAGCGAATATTATATGTTCAGGGCTTTTATTGTGAAAGGTCAGAACAGAAGGAGTGGATCTGGTCTCAATGCCTTTGTCACCGTTGAAAGTTTTCCGTTCTGGACTACAAAGCCTCTGTGTTGTTGTTTTATAAATATAAGCGATACTCGATTGGTTGATGCCTTTATTTGCTCAGAAAATCAACCTCATTACAAAAAACATCAGTTATAAATACTGAAATGCTAATTAATCGCTTTTTAAGGGCCTTGAGAAGGATTTTTAAAATGATCTTATAGAGGGCCGGATGGTGAATCGCTTTAAATGTTGCTGCCACAAGGAATTATGGGACGGCATTATCTCCTTCCCTTTGGTAAAGGATGGGTGAGTGTATCCTATGCTAAAGGAGACAAGAAAGGCAGCACTGAAGCACCTTTTCCTCAGCATTTAGAGGATTCAACCAGCTCTCATCACGGCTGCCACTTAAGACCACAAAACTACATGTAGATAACTCAACGGGTCGTTCCTTCTCTTTTGTGATACATTTGGGTGAACAGAGCCTTTTCTTCTTTCCTAGCAGTTCACACATGAATCCAATCCTGAGTGCCAAACCACTCAGAGATCCGTCCAGTACAAGTTGGGACAAAACCAGCCGACCAGCTGCTCCACAGCTCCCAGTCTCTCAGAGCAGCACCATGTGGACAGAAAGTGGTCAGCCGTCCACTTTAACGTCAGCAAATACACTTCTTCACTTTCTTACCGAGGCTAAGATGAGGAGATCGATACCACTCTCATGTTTGGGTGTTCAATATGAGGCTACAGCTAGTACGCGTTTAGCTTAGCTTAGCACAAAAACTTGAATGTGTACAAAAACAGTGACTGTATTCTCCGCTGGTTGCCTGGCAGACTGTAGGAAGTTAAAGAAGTGGACGTTGTCACCGAGACGTCACCAATTGGTTTGTGGACGGCCGCTTTGAAGCCTCTCGGCCGTCGCCATCTTGGTTTTTGCAACCAGAAGTGACACGAGAGGGTGGAGCTAAGTACAACTCATTAAATATGAAATTTCTAGGCGACCAAAATGAAGGGAAAACACACTGTGAAAGAGTTAGAAGACACGGACAACTCCCAGACCGGACAACGCTGTGGTAGCAACCTGTCAATCACTGTGTAGCCCCGCCCTGAAGCATACTCTGCTTTATGGTCTGTGTGACTCTAAATGGACCATAATGTACTAAATGAACATCATGCTGTATTGAAGAAGACTTGAAACTAGAGATTGAGACCATAAACTCATGTTTACAATGTTTACTGAGGTAATAAATCAAGAGAGAAGTAGAGTCATCTTCTCATAGACTTCTATACAATCTGACTTCTTTTTGGAACCAGAGGAGTCGGGGGTTGCCGCCTAATTTGGACAGGGCCAGGCTAGCTCTCCCCCCTGTTTCCAGTCTTTATGCTAAGCTAACCAGCTTCTGCTTGTATTTTGACGTACAAACATGAGAGTGGTTTTGATCTTCTCATCTAACTCTCGGCAAGAAAGCGAATGAGATTATTTAACAAAATGTCAAAAATATTCTTTTAATCCTAAACCAGAGACATTCAGTCTGACTGCACGACGATCCTTTCTAGGGGACAACTTATGGCGGATTGATTTTTGCATATTGACGTATTATTCCCTAAACCTATATTTCTTGAGATATTTATTCAAATACCATCAGAACAGTTTATAAAAGGATTCGTCCACTCCACATGTTGCAGCCATTAACAATCACAAACCTGCCGTCTGTTTCTCACCTCTTCCATATTCTCCTTTTATATCCCCCCCCCCCCCCCCCCCGCTCCAAATCGCCCCAGTTACATTAAATCCATTCTGTTCCAACAGCACCTTAAACTGAGATCGATGGCAGACTTCATCCCGCTGCTGCAGATGTTGCACTAGAATGTATTCCTCCTCTCCCACCATATGCTCCTCTCACTCCTGTTCCAGCACCAAACAGGCCCGAATCAGCAAAACTAACAGGTTAGATATCAACAAATATGTTGCCTTCATTTGCTGTTGCAAGTGGCCGTTTTCAAATCACCAAGAGAAACAATAAGAGCCGACACGACTTTCACAAACAAAGCTAATTATTTGAGCCCCAGCTCGTTCGGGCCGACCTTGAGAATAAACAAGGAGCGTGTGTTGTGGCCTGCGTGGTGAATGTGTGTGATGGGGGGTGGGGATTGAAGGGAGGGAGGGGGGGTGGCGCTGGCTCTGCAAGCTATAATTGCAATCCCGCATGCAGACACACACACACACACACACACACACACACACACACACACACACAGGGACAGACGTCCGTCCCTCTAAGCAGCAGCAGAGGAACATAAGGAAGCAGCGAGCTCGGATAAAGGCGAGCAGACCGGCCTCTGCTGCCGCGGCACAAAAGGGTGTGAAAAGCAAGAGACGAGAGTGAGGGATGGAGGTTTTTGTCCTCCTGCTTTTTCTCCCCTCCTCCCTCCCACTCCATGCGCTTGCAGCCTTGACGGCTCCAGTTCATTGTATCCTGCAATGCCCGGGCCCTTCAGGTATAGATGTGCAGGAGCTGTATAGAAACGGCTCTCAGACTGTCCATGAAAACAAACAAAAAGAAACTGCTGATACACATGACGGGTGCATCCCATTTATTCCTGCAGCTCAACGTGGAGCTGCTGCTGTAACATGCTGCTCACCTGCTATTGTCTCTCCAATGATTTTTTGTTTGTTTGTCTTGATCCAGGCGACCAACTTAATAACCTACAATCCAGATTTCTATTTCTTTAAGTGGTCATGACAAGCTTCTTTTTATTTTGAAGGAATATTGATTTGAAGGACTTCACATTGTGTTGCAGTGAAAACATACAGTGAAGCTTATCCTTTTATCTGCAATTCATTTTTCAAACGTGGAAAATCCACCGTATCTCCAGAACTCAACGGAAAGAAACTTCCACAATGAAATAGCTGCAAATATTTGCCAATTTTCGCTACACAAGCAAATTAAAGGCTTTCTATGTTCCGAGTCAGCGGTAAAAATAGTCAGACAATGAGAGTAACAACACGTTTCACCCCATCATATCCAGCCAAAAGAATTCCTCCAGCCTTCGTTGACCACAAAGGTTAAAGTGTAGAATGAGAAATATTTTAATGTCTGTCTTTTTTTTACTGAATACTTGACATATTTTCTTTTCATTATTGCGAAGCATTTTTTCCCCTTTAAGAATTCAAATAATGAATCAAACCCTCCTGCGATGACTCTGCTCTAATGTGCGACGTCTTCTTTAGACCTTAATCATTCCTTAACGAAACAGCTGATTTATTTTCAAAGAGAAAAGGAGGTGAGCACAGAGAGGCTTTCATCGACATTAACATGCGAGTGTTTTTATTGCAGAATCAAGTCCCACAAATACTGGTGCTGTGCTTTATTTCTCCAGTTTATACTTGAAAGAGTTTCAATATAATAATATATCTTTTGAGATTAAATATCTGACTGAAGAATGCCTGCCCCCCCCCAACACCCATGATGCAACACTTTCCCTACAAGTGTGTGATTGCAACATGACGTCTAACATCCACCCAGCTGTCTAACTAAGTGGCAGCATGTGACAGTCAGGCAGGTTTAATGCGTTTACTTATGAACTCAATCCTCCGACTAGGAGTTAAACACTGAACCGTCCCAGAGGTCGGAGTCAAATCAAGGACTGATCGCATGTTGTATCATTCAACAAGAGATTAATAGATTTTAAAAGAAAACCCATGCAGATAAGCATGGGTTTTCGACCCCGAGGTGACGCGTGCAGTGTTCAGTAGATAAAGAACCATCTCTGTGCAGCCTCGTCGGTGCTGCTGAAGGTTGCAATTAAGTTACACAATAATTATGTGATTTCTTTTAAACAGAGCAGAATATTTCACATTAATGCTGCACTAGAGGCGCCAGTATCCGTTGACTCTGCTCGTGACTTTGTTTCTTACCTCCGTAGTAGCCGTAGGCAACGGGTCCTAAAATGTCCGGATCCTCCAGCCGGCCTCCCAGGGGCCTCATCCTCCTCGGGCCCCTGAAGAAGGCGTGCCGCCGGGCCCCCAGAGCACTCAGCTGCTTCATCCGCCGCTCTTTGGATCTCCTGTTCTGGAACCAAACCTGCATGGACACCAGAGGGGACGGAGGTCACAGTTATCAGCTGATCTCATCGATTTTTAAGAGCCACTTCAGTCTCCACAGCGTCACCACAACAAGAGCACAAGTCATGACGCTGCATTCATCAACTTCATGCAAATCCGGATCATTTTAGATATGTTCACTCATGTTGTTTTGTTATTCCATGCCCACTGTTCCAGAGGTTTCTCTGTGTAGATTTAAGCCTTTAAGGTGGATTTTCATTCTGAGGTCTTTCCCCCAAAGGAGGGAACACAGCAGTGATTGAGCTTCTGGCCCACTGATGAAAGTATTGCAATATTTATATATTTGCAGTATTATTAAATTGTCTGTCTGTGGTGACATTCCTGTAAATAATACTGTTTTCTAGTTTTTCTCCATCGTATAGACACAAAAAATGAACTATGCACACAAATCTAAATTGTTATTATTGAATTTCAGACTCAGACTGAAGACTGAGAACAAAGCCTTTGTTTGCACTCAAATAAAACTCAAAATAGATGCAATCTTAAGGGTTGACACTTTAAAGAGCTCCTATTCAACAACAACAACAACAAACTATTTCTTACAACATATTTGCTGCTGGCTCATAATCATCCCAATTATCTGACAGCTCTGTAACCATTTCAATGGTTACAGAGCTGTCAGATAATTGGGATGACTGCACTTACAGTTTCATTTGCATTCATTCTTGGATTTTAGCGTTTAAGTGAATAAATAAAACAATCATTGTGTGAAAGTTAAAACTAAAAGTGTTAAACCATAAAAAACGCAGCTACGCTTCACAGGAAAAGCACAAACTAAGGAAATATAACATGAAAATCTTCCAGTGCAATATCAGAATTTTTGATCAATCAAGTGTCTTCCTGTAATTTTCTCTTTTTTCTATATAATAAAAATGTTATAATACATCTCTGGAAAGCACAAAGTATCCAAAACCAACTAGGAGAAGAGGAAAGATGCTCCGTTTGACTGGATATAATAAAGACATGATCATGAACTGGAGCCAGTAACAAAAACAAAACGTTTTCCAGTTGCAGCAAAGAGCAACATGAGCGTAACCCAGCACATAAGTGCAAGTTAAAATAAACAGTCAAAGCTACAAATCACAGCATAAACAGCCTCGACGCTCCCGTAAGATAAAGCGTCTTTGAAGAGGAACAAAGGAGGATTTCACTAACGCACCATATGGAAGAATGTCTGCATCAGAAGCACATAACACATCTTGTTTCGCCTTTGCATCACTGCTGCATAATGATGTGTGCTCACCCCAGCCGGGCTGCACCAGAGGCAGAAAATCCCACTGTGCAGCAGATTAACAGAAAACACACACACACACACACACACAGAAAAAAAACCACCTAAACCCACTTAGGCTCTGTTCTGTGTGCTCCGGCGGGAAGAAGGAAAAAAAAAAAAGGCGACACCTGCTTATTGAGAACAATCGTCTAACTGTAGGGTACATTTTTATGGAAATGCTCCCGCTCCCCTCGAGAGAGCGTTGCTTAGGGATTACATGCACATGCTGGAGAAGCTCACAGGGCTCCCCGTGTTGAGAGCAACGGTATTTAACGTGCAGCGAACGAGGAGGAGGATGACGAAACACACAGAGAGAGAGCCTCCATTTTGGCTCCACGCAACACAAACACACACACACACACACACACACACACACACACACACACACACAGTAGCCTGCAGTCCGTTTATGATATGGATGAGGCAGAGCAAACAGGCTGGAAGTGAGTAAGAGCAGAGAGGTGGGAAAAAGGGGAGGGTGGTATGTAAATCTGTGAAATCAGCGATAATTACAGTGAGTGCACAAAAAGCCACATCACAGTTGGCAGAGATGGTGCTAATCATCCTGACACAGTCTGCACCCAGACAGCAAGTGTGTGCGTGTGTGTGCGTGTGCGTGTGTGTGTGTGTGTGTGTGTGTGTGTGTAAGGGTGAAACGACAGACATTGGCCCAAAACACGCTGGTGTTATTCTGCAAAAACATGTTTGGGGTTCCTCTCGCCTTTGGTAAACACCAGACTAACCTTTTTTACTGATTGCATGGCTGCGCAACACGTTTGATTGCCGAAATAAACCGCTGGCTGCACAAAATAAATGATGTGCTTTTTTATTTGTTATATCCACGCGTCAGTAAATTGGATTACTAGATCTTAATTTCAGAGCATAAACGAACGCCTGCAGGTTTGGATGTAGCAGCGTGGAAAATTGGATGCAAACAGGAATGCAATTTTTATAGGAATATATAATATAATATATATTGTTTAATAGTGGAGTGAGTAGCATTTAATTTGAAAATATTTTTTTTTAAGTAATGTGTTAAATTAAATGTAAAAATGCTAAAAAATAAGAATATAATTGTGTCTATTTTAAATATTAAAAACACAGAATTGCTAAAATATGGCTTTCCATTGTTATGTGGGAATATACAACTCATTTTAAGGCAACACACTACTATTTAAATATATGTGCAAACTGAAAAATGCTTCTATTTGTCACGTGCAAAGACAATTAAACGTCTTTTTCTATCATTATTATTTAAGAAAATTCCATCAAATATAACACAAAAAACGTTCACATGCAGAATGAGTGCAAAATCCCAAATGTGGATTTAAAAGCTGCTAATGGAGCACATCATGCTTTGACATTTCTCTCACAGATGACGAGGCCTTCATTTAAAAATCTCAGCACATTTGAGTAAAATGGAGACGTGACTTCACCGTCTCTACGAGTCTTTGTCCCCCCGCAGACAGAGGCCGCTTCTTACCTGGATCACTCGCATGTTTAGTCCCGTTTCCTGGGCCAGCTGTTCCCGGATGTGCCGGGTGGGTTTCGGAGTGGCGACAAACGCGGCCTTTAACGTTTCCAGCTGCTTGGCCTTGATGGTGGTCCGGGGCCCGCGCCTCTTGGTCCCAGAGTTCTGCTCCTCGTTCTCAATATTGTTCGTTTCCTTATCTGAGGACGTGGAATTGTCCGTCTCTTTTATGTCGTCCTGTATTGGGTCCTGCAGATCCGGCGATAAACTCCTATCTGTACACGACGACACTGATGGGGGGGAGACAAACATGAGGAAGGTCACGATCCGAAATGTCAGGGAGGAGG